TTTTTTTTTCTACTCAGAGCAAAATGCAATTAGGATCAGGGAAGGAGACATGAGTAGGGTGAACGCTGGAGGTAACTTTGGCATCTGGCATATGTAAAATTAAATTATGAGCAGCTTCTAACAAACTGCCAGTAAGCAAGCTCTGCTTTCTTTAATAAAGAATGTGGGCATTAAAATCCACCTGGGCAAGGGGGAAGTCCTGGCTGGGCTCAGCTGGTGTGGCAGCTTTGGTGGTAAGGTCATGAATTCATTTGTTAACCCTGTGGAAAGCTGTGATCCGAGAATCGTGGTTTTGCTTCTGCCTTACCCCTAGCCCTCCGTGTCCCAGGAGCGCTGCAGGAGGCAGCAATAAGCTAGAGCAAAGGAGGGGCCCTGCGTGGTGCAGATACCGGGTTTGGCAGGCGGAACAGGAGACTGCTTCCCCTCAGCCGTGCGCTGGTGGCTCCAGAAGGTGAGGCCGAGACCGCGGCTGCTGCCCTTGCTCGCTCTCGGATCCTCTTCCCAAAGCAAACGTGACCCTGCAGTGTGCTGATGAGCTCCCTTTCACATACCCCAGAATAAAACTGATTTTTTTACATGCCAGCTGAGGCTTGGGTGGTGCTGTCCCTCTTTCCTCTGACCTTGAGATGAGAGCTGATGGGTGGGTGCTTGTTTTATTAGCTTTTTTTTTTTTCCCAACAAATGCAAAGTATCCTAGATTTGAAGGCTGTGGAACTACTTTCCAACTCATTAACCCCATGCCACAAGAAAGCTGGTAAATCAAGATCTTTATTTAACAACAAAAAGCGAGTGGATTATTTAGGCATGGCAGATATTTTGGTTGTAAAGAAAAGGTGTGTAGTGAGGAGAGGGGTGAGGACTGGGTGTTTGGCTTAGAGCTTTTGAAACCGAAAAACTCATCTTGTGGCACAGTAGCATCCTAAAACCAATACTAGAGGAATCGGGGCAAAGTTAAACCGGCCCCAGAAAGAACAGTCTCCTGTAAAGAGCAAAGAGTCCCTGTCAGAAAGACTGAGGCACAAAAGTGCTTACAGCCCTTGCACTGGAGAGTTGCGTGGCTCACAGACAGGGTGTGCACCGAGGCTGTATCGACACAACAGGTAGCAGTTGCAATGCGAAATAAATAGCCGATAGTTTTCTTTTCCCAAGTGATGTTTCTTCCTTTGGTCACGCCAACCAGGTGTTCAATACTGTTCTTTGTAGGAACACCACCGTGTGTAAGAGCTTTATCTTCTAGCCTCTGTCAGCCTTTCAGATGGGGTGCTATAAAGGTGAGGCTGGAAGCCATCTTAAAAAAAATCAATTCTGGGTGACCCAGTGGCTTTAATTTACCCAGAAGTGTACCTAAGGTATTTTCTGTCTTGGAATAGCTGTGCTTTTTAAGGAAGCTTCTGGGCAAAGTAGCTGCAGTCTTGTAACCCAGGCAGAAGTCACTCTTCAGGGAACCTCGGAGAGTCCTGCCCTGCAAAGGTATAAATACATAAATTCAGTCTGACATCTAGTTTCAGTAGGGAAAATAAGAAAATAAATTAAAAAAGACAGGTTCATCCCATGAAAGACATGAGAAGGGGATTTAAGGTACAGATTGAGACATCAATTGCAAGTCTTTTGAATCCTGAGCCTCCCCGATCTCGGGGTGTGCGTTGCCAAGTCCTGGCTGCTGCTGCAGGAAGCTGCGAGGTGGAGGAAAGCGACTCCAAGTAATTTGCTGGAACCACGTTATCGAGCGCTGGGCTGACTTGAACACTGCAATTGCTACATGAAACAAAGCACCGATAAAAATAGTGTGTTTTCTTGTCATGCTTCATTTCCTTCTGGATAGTCTCAAAATGTCCCTGTTTGATTCTTTTCTTTGTGTGACTTCAGTGAGTCATTGTGATCACAGTGCTCTGGCAGCATTTTGAAAAGCCCTGAAATACAGAATATTTCCCTGAAATTGCCAAATGTTTTACATGGAAGCAGCTACATTTCAGGTAGTCTGGACATGTTCTTCCTATTTTTTGAACAACATATATATACATATGTATATATATATCTCGTTCCTGTAAGAGTTACTCATGTTTTAAATTAATTGCCAAATGCTTCGTATTTTTTGGAGAAGCAATAGTGTACTTTAATCAGCCTGTTCCCCTTCCCCCAAGTGTTCATTTTTAGATAATAAAGGAATCTTAGTTCTGCTGCATACACAGGCTATTTAAGATCCAGCAATCCTGTCCTTTTTCCCAGGTCTGTCTAAGCATCTATTGGAAAATAAATTAGTTGCTCTGTGCTGAATACCAGGCATCATGTAAGAACATATTTACTCAAACAGATAATTTGCAGGGTTTTGTCGGTAATCCCTGGGACATTACCTCGTCGGACATGTCCAGGATAACTTGCCCTCGGAAATGCTAAGCTGTACGTAGAGTGAGGGGTTTTAGCATCCCTGCTGAAACTGAATGTTGTGACTGCTTTGCACATGGAGGTAGATCGTGTCCTGCTGCCAAAAAGGACTGTTGAGCTGTATCTGCCATTTTGAATTTCTTCCTGAGCATACCCGTACTTGTGTGGGTTTCCTAAGCTGTAGTTTTGTCTTTATCTCCACAGTGACACTTGATAGCCTTTGATTTTCCCAATTTTCCCACCAGGTTTTCCTCATCTCTAGCACTGCTGGCTGCTTTCCAAATGCAAGACACGACTGCTTAGAAGGGAGATCTTACCTGCTAGTTTTCCTTGGCCATTTTTTAAAAATACGTTTGCCTTAGCCGTGCATTTTTGCTGTTGTCGTGTATAAAAGAAAGGCCTTTTTTCAGTCGGACAAGCTGCCTGTTGGGAGGACAACGGTGCAGCTCGTGCCTCCTGCGTTTGGATGTGGTGGTGACATCCTGTCCGTGTTTCTTGAGCACTTGCAGAGCCCTCTGTCTGTGGCAGCTCTTCTGTTACGTGGGAAGAGTTGCTTAACGTGGGCATCTGGGGTTGGACACGTGCTGTTGACAAAGATGAATTGTTCGGACAGATGCTGCTGTCCAGACGTACATCACGCAGGTACACAGGCCATATGTTCCTTCAGCATTAATGCTGGCCTGTCTTAGCACTTAAAGGGTGTTTTCATATCTGATATTAGCCAAGGCAGCTAGAAGAGAGCAGGAGAAAACGCCCTGACCCTTGGTGTTGCTGTCTTTTCTGTCTCAGTAGTCCCAGTTACTGGCAGGATAAAAGCTGAAAGCAGATTTCTGGACCGTCGTCTGATTCCCCCTTTGTTTTTCTAGGATACTTTTTGTTTGGATTCATCTTCATAAAACTTTGGATATCTAGGTTTTGATTGATAGGCGCACAATTCGTTACATCAGTCAGACTGGGGCAAGAAGCAGTGGTGGCTAGACTTCAGAGGCAGGGCTCTTGAGGAGGGGAGGCTTTTTGATTTTAAATTTTTAAACATGATTTTCTTGGCTGCTGCAAGGCTTTTTTCAGGACTTGAGAACCATGATGTTAATGGGCAGCGTGAGCGAGGGTAGCAGAGCAGCATGCACCACGGCTGGCAGCGGGTCTCTCTGAAGGGACGTCCTGGTTGCTACAGCTGCCTACCCAGAAGGTGTGGCTTCAGTGGCTGGTTTGAGGAAGGAGAAGCAGCAGAGGACCCCACGTTCTTTGTGAGGTTACGACAGGAGCACCGTCATTATTGCCAGGGTTCAAAGGCGGGTTTCATCCCCACAGGTCTCCTGAACAGATTGCCTCTCATGCCAAATGGTTTCTTCTGTTTGTGTTGTCAAACCCATCGAGCTCGTTTTGGTTTGCGACCCAGACTTGCAGCGTTTTTGTGTTTTCCTCAGTCACTGCTAATTTCTAGCATCCCTCGGGTGAATCAGCCTCCTTTTCCTGCCTGATGCATTCAGTGCTATCACGGTATGTTTGACTTCACCGTCGTTTCCTTGCTGAGTGAATTACATATTTTTTTATTAAGTGCTTTGTGACACTTTTAAGTGAAGCAGGTAGAGAAAGTCGATTTTGGAAAACCAGGAACATCTGGTGCTCGCCTGTTTTGTTTGGCAACTTTGTGAAATTAATACTGTCCTAAAGTAGAGAAGAAAAACTACACATTGAACTTGTAAGCTAATTAGCTCTAACTCTCAGGTGCTTGAAAACAAGGTTAGGATTGTCATGTCAGTCTGTCCACGGACGGTTTCTCGCGCCTGGCATGTTTCCAGGTCATTCTGCTGGAGCATAGTGCAGCAAGAACAGGAGCAGGCTTTTGAGATTGCTTTATTCCCACAGCCAAAGAGGCTTTTTTGGTCGTTTAACTGACCAATTAGTTGGCACAGCATAAGCTTTGTTACGCAGCAGTATGTGTGGCATTTGTTCTGCTTAGAAAAACAAGGTTCTGGAGTGAATTACAGTCTTAGGGTTTGAAGAAAATTAGTACGGGGGTGTTAGGAGGAGCATCAAATAGCGTCCTCTCCTCCTGTTCCATGGCTAATCTGGCTCTTACACAGCCATAACAGAAATCTTAAAGTACTGTAACAATTACTGGTAAGGTATAGAGTAAATCTTTAAGGAAAAGAGGATAAATACAAGATTTATCTCTAATTTTGTGTTTGCATGTTGTTTCCACTTCGGACTGTGTAAGATTAATCCTTTCTTGGCCTTTTTTCACAGGTTCTGGCAAGTAGCTTAGGGAATGCAGCCGCTAGTGTACTAAATGTCATCCTGTCTAAAGTACTTACCAAGCCAACCTGCACCTAGAAAGCAACACCTTTTTAACACAAGCTGTTAAAGGAAGGTGAAGCTAGCTCTTGTGAATACTTGCCAAGTGTTTTTGCTTGTAATGACTAACCATAATGAACGTGGAAGCCGGTATGAGTTGGGTGTGAGAGCAACAGAATAAAACACTTCTGTGTTTAAACATCAAGTTCCTGAGAACTTACTAATCTTGCTTTGTTCGCTGTTGAGTTCCTTGGATAAAACATACGGAACCTAATTGTTTCGTTAAGGATATGTTTTAAAAATCCAGAGGTGTTTTACAGGTCATTAATGCTGCACTGGCTCTGGCTGCTAAACCCCAAAGCAAGCTGGCTCAGGAAAACATGGATCTCTTCAAAGAGCACTGGGAGAAGCAAGTTCGCGTGCTGACGGATGCTGTCGATGACATCACATCCATTGATGACTTCCTGGCTGTGTCAGGTAATCAGGGGTTTGACCTCAGAAATAATCGTTCTCGTAACTGAGCTTATTCCTGGAAATGGATGGTTTCTACGTGTGTTCTGGAGTCCCCTTGGGTTTTTGGAAGGGATGGCGTTGGTACACTTCACCGGGCAGCGTCGTCATCCGGCGAGTGAGGTGTGAAAATAGAGCAGGAGAGCTTGGCACGAGGGGAAGAGGTGTTTTTATAGCCTGAAAGCAGTGATAGCTTAGTTCAGCA